CTGAAAAAAATCTGATTTGATATGCTCCTGAAAACACATGCAACACAAAGTGTTTTTAGCTGTTAGCCTTAGCTTTGAGCTATCCCCAGTAATGTCAGATGTGTTGGTGACTTGATAACACCATTGTAGTGTTTCAATGTACTGTCATATGTTTGATTTTACCATTTCAGTCAACCAACTCACGTTGAAATGTTTGTTACAGCAGTATAGCATATTGAGATTTTGGCGTCTCGGCTCCGACCTCATCACTCCCCGCAGATATGTTTACAGAGAGATATTGGGGAGTGATGAGCAAATACCTCAACCCCCAGTCGGAGCCTACAGGTGGATGCTGGGGTGGTGGTGGGGCTTACAGCGCAGCAGGTAGCAATATGGATGCAGGGCAACAGCGGCATTGACAGAGCAGAGGGAGAGCTGGGAAATTGTGCAGTTTAAATAGACCGTCAGATTGAAAGGGTACATTTGGTTTGTGATTATGGAATAAGGGATGTTATGTGTGTAATCAGCGCAGCTCAAGTTGACCTGCCTGAACTAGCTCGCAGGCTTCGCTCCATTTATGTGTCTTTGAAGTCTCAAGGCAAGGTATAAAATATGTGAGCTTGCGCATGATGCTAGATGTTATCATTCATTGGCCAACTTGCTGTATTTCAGCTGTCTGTATCTTCATCAAATGGCATTGTTTCATATGCAAGAAGCTGAAAATAATGGTTAGCTCACCTCCAATAATCATTACCATACGAACTGGGTCTAATATTTTTAGCCTCATTGTCTTAAGTTGGCCTAGAACCTCTTTAGCGACACCATCGTTTGTCTGAGTGCAAAAAATTCAACCAATGAAAGGCTAAACAATTTATTCATGTTCAAAGGACCAGTGTGTAGGATTTAGTGGCATCTATTTCAGATTGCAACTAACTGCACACCACTCCAGTCTGTATCTGGGAATGTGAAGAGTGTAGGAGAAACTATGGTGGCCACAAAACCCATGTTAAGGGAAAACTGCCCAGTGTAAGATCCGCTCCCTCTGTAGATAAAAATGGGAGGTAACAAAAATAAATAAAATCGTATTAATATTACATTCTATTTCTGACAATAGATCCTCCTACTTGTTACACACTGGACATTTAACGCATTCATGATATTTTTCTATTTTACACAATGTGGTACTTACTCTAGCCTATTTAGTTACTAATAAGGGAACATACAATTTATCTGCTGCTGCATCACTTGAAATTGTTGAAACAAATAATGTTCCACAGAGTCTGGTTATTGTATTTTTCTTGTTTTAAACACATCTCATGAAAAGACCCAAGCCCAAAATGAATGTATCCACTATTGTGTGTGTACCCAAATCCTGCTATATCCTCTTCCTCTGTGCCATAGAGCACCATTGTCGTTAAAAACACATCAATGAGCCACACTGTTGCACCCTGAACACACACAATAGGCAAAGATGTAAAGTGTGGGTGGAGCTGAGGTGGGCTGAATGAAGCCTGGTTAATTAATATGGGGCCTTATGGAGACTGACTCACTGCTGGAGCCAGCCTCAAGTGGCAGTTTGAGGAACTGCAGTTTTTGTTACTTTGATGTTGGTTTCATTGACCAGCCATGGAGGTTGCCGCTTGGTAAAGACCTCTTGGGGAAGTAAAAGTAAAAGCCTGATGCAGGAAAAAAAAACTCTTTGATTGATTGAGTGCTATAATGTAGTTTATTTTGACTCAATCCACCTGAACACCGTCCTGCAGCCACGAATACTCACTAGAGCACCAAATGTGGATTAATCCACCACTGAAAATAGTCCGCAGAAATGCACTATTTCCTCCTTTTGAGTAATGGTTCATAAAAACTGCAGTGACTGGTTTAGGAAATTACTGAGCCTTTTCTTGTAAATTTGACTATAAATTTGTATTTTACATGTATTTGTTTCTTATGAACATAGGTATATCATAGACAGTGAATGTATCTCCACTACCTTATTAAATAAGATCTTACACTGGGATACCTTTTATTGCATTATCACATACTTGAATGGGCCTGTTTCATGTAGCATTTGCTCATTTGTAGCTGCTCAGCCAGCAAGCCTATAGTGGCAGCTCCCTCTGTACATGAAATCAAAGCAAACAAGCATATTCAGCTAACTAAATCCACCTTTCTTAGTAAAATAAACTTCAACAATAACAGTGCCTCCTGTGTGTATATGTGGAAAGATGTTGTTAACAACAACTCCTTATGTGCCCATGTTTTGTGAAGTCGCTCATGAGCCAATTAGGTGCGGCCTCCTGTACAGTATGTTTATGTCTGTGAGTCAAGGTAAATGCTTCCACAGTGGGACGGATCATATGGGATGAATTAGCCGTTCCTTCCCCCAACCTCCCAGCTCTCTGTGCTCCCAATAACCTCCCACCCCAAAGTAATGCATGCACACACACATCCTTGCCCCCGACGTACGGTACATCAAATCTCCAGCCCAGATCTCTGAACCCATCATCACCTTCATCAGTTGCAACACTTGAACAGACTCCTCATGGAAGGCGAGTCAGCAACTTCTTGCATTTGCAACTTTATATGCAGTGACACAGTCTGGTCCTCCTGTGTGTGTCAGCAGGGATTAAACACTGCTGGATCACGCACACTGATCTGGATCTAAAGGGATGCTATTCTGCTAGCTGTGATTATTCTGGCTCACCTGGGGCTTGGTGGTTACAAACCAGCTGTGGTTATACAGTATGTGTGGAATCAAGACAGTGTAGGCCTCAGAGTCCCCATGTGTGGAATCAAGACAGTGTAGGCCTCAGAGTCCCCAAAACTACAATATCTCTGAACTATCTCTAACCAAATCACACACATTTAGGCTGTTATGTTATCCCACTTTGAAAACCTCTGTAGTAACATGATCAAAAACACACCACAGTCACATTCATCTCCTAGGAGAAGCTTAGCTACATGCCCAGTCAACTACATGGGAAAGGTTACTTGAATGAAATTTCTCTGCTGATTGGTCTTTGGATAAAAGTGTCAAATGGACGAAGAGCAGACTCCCACTAATTCACAACTTTCCCTTTTAAAGAAATTAAAATATATTCTTATGTTGATTCCATGCTCTGAAATGATTCATTGATGATTTTATTTATTTTTTGTTGATATATGCTATCTTATTAGCAAGCTATTTCACGTCGCTTCATAACTGGCCTTTTTCTTTGCTGCTACAGATCATTACATAGATTCAGAGCCTCTGACCCATTTGATAAACAAATAAAAACAAAAAAAGACAAGTACATTACGTACAATGTCAACAAGCAAAGCAAATACCTTTACATAAGTTAGACTGCTGTGTGACATGCAGGTCTGTAGCTCCAGGGGAGGACACAAAGGTCACATTCTTGGGATCTTTACCTCGGAATACCTGATATTTTTATTATTTAAGGTTACATACATTTTTTTTTAAAAGGTGGATATCATTTTATATTAAATACATTTTATACTTAAGTGCCCTTTAATTTGACCACTTTCAGACAAAGAAAAATAAGAAATACATGAAATAATAAATACAATATTTAAACGATTTCGAGTAGAGCATACAGACCACCATTTAGATCAGAGCATCAAAGTCTGACTAAATTCTGAAGCGTTCTTTTTCTATGATTTCTAAGCAGATTTATTTGCATTGGACATCAGAGATAATGATATATTCTCTGAAAGTTTAAGTCACACTGAATGTAAAAATATGTCTCCTTTCCATGTGTTCAGATTTGAGTTATTACTCTGATGTCTGGTGCAAATTGCAGCGAACCTACGCTAAGCGTTTTGAGGTCTAGTTTAATTGCCTGTGTGAGCCGTGTCACAGCCTCACTGTGTGAAAACCCGATTTAGTGAAACTCAGGAGCTGGCCAGCCATTAGGAATTATCAACAGGGGGGAAACATTTTCCAAATTGGGCCATTCATACCACTTTAGCACTCCTACAACCCCCCCCCGGCTCTAAAACCATAATGGGCGATTTCAAGTAAGCTGTTAGCTTCCAGTAGGGCAGCAGCATTTTTCTTCTAAATGTAGAAACATGCTCATGAAATGAGGCCACGTTTTTGTTTCTTCTCTTCTGCTGTGACTCCTTTTTGTTGCAACTTTCCAACTCTGTAGAAACATGAGTTTGACGTCATTGTTTTGCCGATAAAGAAATTGATCAGATGCATAAGATTCCAATGCATTGGACAATTTGGAACTGGTTCTCAACAGGAATTGGTTCTCAATTCCCGTCCCTAGTTAGTTTATTTTACACTAGTGTTTTTCACACTTTGGTCAACTTTGGTTGTTTTTAAAGTGCTTAACAAATAAAGTTGGATTGGATTGGATAGTGGGCATGTGGACGTTCTGCACGTGACAATATGTAGCAGGAAGTGGGGTATCACAGGCGACAGGTTGAAATGTGTTTAATGATAACAATACAGGGCGGCTGTGGCTCAGGGTAGAGTGGGTCGTCCACTTATCAGAAGGTTGGTAGTTCGACCCCCGGCTCCTCTCGCTTTATGTCGAAATCTCCTTGAGCAAGATACTGAACCCCAAATTGAGTGTGTGTGAATGATAAGTTTCTGTTCTGGTAAGCAGTTGGCACCTTGCATGGCAGCCAATGCCATCAGTGTATGGGTGAGTGTTGCCTTTCCAGTGAGCCAATATACACAATAGCAGCACCCTGACTGAGTTTGACCTGAATAGAACAGAACCTTAATTAGAATAATTGATAACACCTTTACCCTACTATTTCATAACAAAATAGCTGCTGTGAGGGGGAGGCACTTACAGTACATCATACAGTAATTCGGAAATCCTGACGGCTACAGACAAAAGTATACCTTTTTTTCTTCTCTGGAGCACTTAGAGGCTAATAAACGAGGATGATGAAACAGGTGTAGCTAGATGATCCCTCATGTACTTGAGAACCTCCTCTTGTTACTGGCCTGAAAGTTCTAAATACAGCAAGTACAACTTACTAAAGACAACGCAGACATGTGTGTTTCTGTTCAGTTTTATTTGTAAATGCATCTTGGATAGAACAAAGAAAAAATATATATAATATATTCATATGTACTGAAACGTTAAGTTATGTACACATTCAGGGTTTCCACTAGAAATCGTCACAAGCACTGATTTGTTTTAAGATATGGTATCAGAATAGTCTCTGTGCCTCCTGGATGCAGCGACGTCCACTCCTGCGTATTTACATACATTCATAGGATGCGATAAAACACCTGTGTTCACACAGGCATTATAAATTCAAAAATTGAATGAAAGGAATGATGTACAATGTTGTGTACCCCTGCTCGTTGTCGCTTTACATACATGAATTACACATGGACGGCACTGTCACACCCCTACATATTCACAGCGGGGCACGCTAGCAAACAATTAGGGTATTAGAAAGTGTGTCGTGGCCTCAAAAGGGATGCTGTGACTCCATTTCCCAGAAGCTCATCTTCCTGGTAGTTCAGCACCATGGTGTGTCCACTGATGTCACCTCAACGTAACGTAACTGCCGGCTGAGGTCAAAGGCTGTCAAGGGTGTCTCCAGTAACAGATAAAGCAGAGTTGAGGCAGATTTTGTGTCAAGTCGTTGGCAAAATAATAGTTCAAATAATGATAGCAGACTGAGACATTCAGACTGACATGGGCCATATTATGAACAGTCATTTAACACCCCATTAAAATGTGGATCACCAAAGAGCCCGATTCTCCAAACCATATGGCTCTCCAGTAAGGATTTTGTGGTATAGTAAGGCCAGAAAAGCGAGACAAATAGAAGACCAACAACTAGGTACACATGACTTAGCTTAATACAACAATGAACAAAGATCATATAACACTGATCAGAAGGCGAATATAACAATCACTGTGCGTTTAACCTTTTAGATGTGATTCACGTTTGCATTTCGTGTGTTGCTCTGTCGTTCTCCTCCTTGTGTCTCAGCAGGTTTGTCCCGGTAGCTTATGGTGAGATTTCCCTTACTTTGTTATGCAATCAGTAGTTCATGTCCCCATATTAGAGCAGGTCTCACCCTGTTCATCAACGCAAAGTTGAATAATAAAAGGTATTCTCCAACCGTACTGTCAATGAACTGAGGTGCAAGGCAGCAAAAACTAGGACAAAGCTATCAGAGAAACCTCACAGCAGAAACCTCTGCAGACCCCGGGAAGAGTAACTACTACTCCAGTAGTAGCTTATGAGGATCCGAACGGACTCCAGACTTCCTAAACATTGCATAACATGAGGAATGTCCAAGACATTGGCAGCTTTCAGGAAGATAAAAGGCAGTTGTTTTTATCCAGGTATGGATACGCAAGGCTATTACCAAAGCTATCACATAATCCAGACTGAATGAAAATAAGCTTATCTTATCTTCTGCTGAGGCAGGCGATAAGGACAGAACAAACATAAGGAGTACAACATACCAAAGCACCAACAGCAACAACAACCTTTAGCTGATTACAGGATGGTAACTGTGGTTTACTCTTGTACAATAAATTAGAACAATCACAGACTGCTGAAACAATAAGCAAGGCGTGCTCCCACACATCTTCAAACCGATTTGATGAAGGCGCAAAAATCTTGCGCACACACATACGTTCGCGCTCACACTTTGCTCCCATGGCCTATGGCTGTATGAGAGTGATCTCAGCGTTCCCAGTGTTCCCAGTGATCCGAGCAGGAAGTCAGTTTGCTGAGCGAACTGTCCGGCTGCTTCGTGGAAAGCGGTGGACTTTGATGTGTTTTGACAGGTGGTCACTGCGGGCAAACTTCTTCTCACACACTGGACACTGGTAGGGCTTGACACCCGAGTGGGAGCGCCGGTGTCGAGACAACTCGTCCGACCGAGAAAACCTGAAAGGAAGAAGGAGAGATGTTTTATATTCAGAAAAAACAAATGGGTAAGGTCAGAGTTGTGGCCTCAAGTCACGAATCTGATGACATTAGACTTGCAACTTGGCTTTGCCTTTAACAGCAGTGACTCATGACTTCCGTTGACTGATTTGGAATGATTTGATATTTTTCCTAGAGTTTCAATGATCCACCATCATCCATCACTTTAAGAAAAAATGTCTAAATTCTCTGATTTCAGCTTCTTAAATGTGAAACTTTTCTGCTTTCTTTAGTCCTCTACTTGCCTGCTGTCTGGTTAACATGCTCGCATTAACCAGGTGTCTGAATTAGCCAAAGATGATTTGTTAGGTAAAGGAATCATCACTCTGTAATATCTTCCTAATATCATGTGTGGATTGTGTGTTTTTTTACTTCAACAAGAGCAAGAGAGTCCTCTTTACTCAAACACTCCTGCTGCGTCACATCAATTTTAGTCGTTGGAATCTCCCGGTTAAACTTTCATATCATAATAATTATATAAGGCTTAGTCATTCTGAATCAGGACCTCCAGTAGTCAGAGCAAGTAGCTTGTGAAAAGCAGGTGCAGTTGTAATCTCTGCTCAGCTGTAATGTGTCAGATAATCTGCATGTCACATCCTCCACAAAAAACGTTAAAACCCAGAACTGTAGTGTTTCTGCCTTCTCAGCCAACAAAAAGTACAGCCCTATATTAATCTTTGAATTTTAGTTATATTTTTTGACTCAACAAAGGATTGGATGTAAATTTACTACACTAACTCTTAAAGGGCCAGTGTGTGGGATTTAGTTGCATCTAGCGACAAAGTTCTAGAAAGATTTGAATACAGCTTAGCCTTCAAGCTTGTAGAAGAAACTAGAGTGGGCACGAAGTCGCGAAAAATGCTGAATGTCCAATCTAGAGCCAGTGTTTGGTTTGTCCGTTCTGGGCTACTGTAGAAACATGGTAGTTCAATATGAAAGCCTCCATAGAAGAGGACTCGCTCCCTCTGCAGATATAAACATCTCATGCTAACAAAAACACAATGATTCTTATTTTCAGGTTATTATACACAAATGAAAACATACCTATGAATATTACATTCCATTTCTGACAACAGATCCTTTTGCCCAACCCCTACAGAAAGTGAACTATAAGAGAACAAAGGTTCTAATTGTCTCAGGTGTGTGGTTTGGAAAAGATGATCATACTCTACTTGTGTCAAACCAGCTGCAGCCAGACACTGTTCTGTTCATGAGGAAACGTCTTGGCTGATCTGATAAAAACTTTAGTAAACGTGTTCTAAGGATATTTCACAGTGCCGAACTTGCCAAACGCCTATACAATGAAAAAAAGACAAAAACCTCTATTTTTCCACTGCCGTTATTTTATATTTTTGGCAACTCCCATGTACACAATGGCTGCCGAAGCCAGGAATCTTCTCACCAAACCCTACAGCGTAATTATCTGTCATGAGCAAGAATGCCTAACATGTTGATGCTACAGCTCATTTGCCTGTAACTCATTTGAACAAGCAAAACATCGCAGCGGGGTTAGCATGCGAAGCTACTTGGCTGGAGCCAAAGGCTTGACAGCTCTGGGGCTTCTTCCCAGCAACTATAGTTCTTTGAAACCGACCGTCCACGGCCAGGCTCTGCAACCCAGATGTTGCTCTGCTGTCCTGACAAGATGATGAATTGATACGATCGCACCCTGTAATTAAGCAGCAACACATAAAGGGCTGCAGCAAAAACACGTTGTTTCTCTCTGTCATACAGATACAACAGGCTTGCAGATAAGAGCTAAAGCAATGCTGTGGCACTATTAGACATGACTAAGTTACATGCAACATCTGACAGCAGTTTATACAAGGAGACACTGCCAATGAAACCACCCCGAACACCAACCCCATTCTTTCTAGAAAAAACCGACAGAAGCAGATCAAGTCTATACATTGACTTTGGTAGACGGATCAGATATTAGTTTTGACTTTCTGTGCAGTTAAATCTTCTAACCAGGGGACTGAACGGGACTGGGATCTCATGGGAACCATGTTGCGTGCGCAGGATATATTTGCTATAATATGGAGTGGGCGGTCAGCGTGATCAGCACAGGATGGATGCGGTATGAAATTTCAGACATGAAAATAAAAGAGGCTAATGGCTTAAACAAATGTTTCGTATAATGCACAGTCTGTCAGTAAACTGTGTGCATCCAAATGTGATCTACAAACTGTTTTAGGTAGTTTGTAGCGATGGTCTCATTCTGTAAACGGTAACACAATCACTGCCACTCTGAAGTCTGACGTTTCACCATCTGATTCGAAGTCTGCTGCTATGCAAAGCATCGGAGGAACAGACAGGATTTATAATCTTTTTATCCACTTTTAGTGCCAACTGAATCAATTCGAAGCAGTTCTCTTTTAAAGGGATTTGTTTTCATTTCCTGTCAGCTGAAGGTGTTTTGGTTAAACAGCTGAATAACTGAATTCACGTTTATTCTGATTTAAAAAACTGCAGCCTGATTTTCAATAGAAAGCAGTGTTGAATTGGGTTGGCACATCTTTAGAGGCAGACAGAAATGAAAAGCAGTCGATCCTGTGCAGACCTCTTCTTCTGACCTTAAAAGAGGGGTACACTGCATCCAGTATGAGTGTATGCAAGTTTCTCTCTTCCAGTTAAGCATTCCCCTCGTGTGTGGGAAAATTACTCCCAGAACACCCCCCAGGAAGTCCCCGGGCTTCATTCGTCTAACAGTCAGCCTGAACGAGCTGAGTAACCCAGCCTGGGCTCTCTATGGAGCAGAAAGATGGACCAGAGTCATCAACTGTACTGCACGTTTAGGCATCTTTTCAATCTGCAATCAATGTAATATATTCAGTGAATGGCTCCATGGTAACACTAGAGCACAAGCTATGCTGAATCATTACAGGTCATTATACGTTGGTCCAGGTTCGATTCTGATTGGCTGCAGGGTGTCCATTAATTCCATTTACTAAATAGTTACAGTGAAACTGTCTGACTGTTCTAAGTGAATGACTAAACTGAATGAAAACAAAATGGAGTAAGTAATGATCCTCCCAGGTATTACTCAAACCCTTAGGTGTTACCAGGGAAATTGAGTTATAAAAAGCTTAATTACAGTTACAGAAAGCATGAAAATATAAATGAATGGGTTATCTCTATCTCTACACCATGGTATAAGCGGAATAATGTGCGTTTTTTACTACTATTTTGATAGCATTTTACTTGCTATTGTTGTGCCATGCACTCTGTACAGTGCTTTGGTCAACTCCGGTTGTTTGAAATGTGCTATATAAATAAACTTGACTTGACTTGACTTCTTACCATTCCAGTTCTCATTCAAGTTCTCTTTGTGTGATCTGTCGGCACCTGCCAGCACTAACTCTGTGCTGTGTTTGGGAATCTTTCTTTGGGTGCCACTGCTTTATTTAAAAGTAAAAATCACTTCATTTAAGAAGAGTGACTACTGCTCACTGAACCATGCACCCCAAAAAAAAAGAATGTGGCCGTATCAGCTGTGCTCAAGCCTGGATAACCAACTGGGAAAACTGGGGGCCCCAGACTCCCAGGAGCCCTACAAGTTCCAGCTTCACTTGGTTTTTGTTCATTTGTACAGGGGGCCCTGCGTCAAAATGTATGTCTAAGACCTTAATTATATTAGTTTCTACTGCACACATGGTGCACATTCCTAAATAAATGTGCTTGGGGCAGAGGTCAATAGGGGCCCGACAGCTAATTTTCTGCCATGGGTTAAATCCAGTCATGCTTGCGTTATGTGTGTAATTTATTTTTAAAGTTTATCTTCATGGTATATAACATAAACCAGTGGTTACTAACACTTACTGTAGATAGGTGACGCTAGTGTCCTGGTAACTTCTGATGCAGTGTTTAGTGTTAGCATGGAGCAGCGGAGCCACTGATCTACAGTACTGCAGACGTTGTTATGCATTTGAATATACAGTAGCACACTCAGTGCATCTTTCAGCCGTTCCCTCCCTGTTCCTCCCAGTCTGTGAGGAACCTTGACTGATCCCTCTCCTCCCTTTCAAGCAGTGTGGCAGCCTGGACGTTCCTAGCCCACAGTCATGGTAACTATTCAACACTTTGTCTTTGTTCGCTCCACTTACTCACCGCTTCTCCCTTCAAATGATTGTGTGCAAAACTGAAACAGGCCTTTTTCTCCCCCTCTATCTGCCTCCCCCCCACACCACCACCAGCACTTTTTCTCCTGTCTTTTCTTTTTTAAATCTCAGTGACTCTCCACTCTTCACTCCATTCGCTTGCTTCTTTCACATTTTTCCCAACTTTGTTTTCTCCTTTGGTCGGCCCCCTCATTTACCCCATCACATACAGTGACACACACACAGAGACACTAACACACACACCTACACACACACACAAACACTGGTTCTCACACGCACTTCCATCCAAACTACATCCTGCCCTTTGTGCACAGACAAGAGCCCTTTGTTAGTTGGAACACACAGCCTGGATTACTACTGCACAAATTTCTGCAGCTCCCCTCATGTATGAGGACGCACACAGCATTACAAGTATAGTACAGGACTGACGCCGGGTTGCCAGATTGGTAATATGGCACATGGACCAACATAAAGCTTTTAAGGGATATTATTGATCACTCAATACCTGCATGTAAAAGGAGGTTCTGTGTTTAAAAGGGAAGACTCCTCCAAGACTGATCTCTAGCAAGCTGTGGCAGGTAGAGGCCTGATTACATAACAGTTTGCTGGTTGGGATAGTTTTTGACTAATGTCCTCATGCACAAGTAAATGTAAGCATACCATACGTACAGATCAATGCAATCATGCAAGGTACACGAAAAACACACACTCCATGTCAGTGCATGCCTGGTACTGATTGTACTGATTTACTGACTGTAATGTTAAGGTCAGTGGTCCCCCGAGGGTCTAGTACCGGGTTATTTAATTGGCGGCACCTGAGGAATTTTGTACCGGCCCTTGGAGTGAAGTGTAGTTATTACATATGGGTAGTCTCATACAGCGCATGACTATGGTTAATTGTACATTCTTTCGTGCAGTAGGAGATGGTATGCACCCCTTTAAGCCATGGTGGCAAAACAGGTAGAATATCTACCTGTTTCGGGCGGACATATATTTTGGGGAACCACACATGACCAATCAAAGTCACCCATTCGTGCTCTAGTGCCACGCTCTGACCGCTCTGACCGCTCTGACTTTCTTTCAAGCCAAGCACAAAGTTTGGCTAACAAGATAAAATGTCTCTCTCTACCTTTAAAAAAAGAAAAGTTGACTCAGAGAACAGGCAGTTCAACAATGAATGGACAGAGAAATACGCGTTTATTGCCGTTGATGCGAATCCTGTGTGCTTAATCTGCAGCGAGTGCCTCGCCGTGTGCAAAGAGTATAATTTGAGAAGGCATTTCAAGACAACGCATGCTAACTTTGATGCTACTTTCCCACCGGGCTCTGCTGCTCGGAGGCAGACGATAACAGGGCTTACATCTTGTTATGAGCAAAGACGTCACATTTTGTTTCGGGCCTGAAAGGATCAAGAGAGAGCAACTGCGGCATCGTTACGAGTGGCATGGATATTGGGCAAAAAGAAAAGCCGTTTACAGACTCAGAGACAGTCAAGGAGTGTATGCTGGCATCCATTGAGGAGGTGGTAACAGATGAGAAAACCCGAAAAAACATTATCGATTCGATCAAGCAAATTACAATTTCTGACACGTCAAATATGAGGAGAGTCGAGTCCCTTGCATCGACGTTTTCAAGACGCTTTTGGACAAGCTGAGGAAGGCCGAGGTGATGTCTTTGGCCGTGGATGAGTGGACTGATAACAGTGATGTTGCACAGCTGTGCCTCCTATGTGCGATTTTTTGATGGGGAATGTTTTCGTGGAGATCTGCTTCATTCTTTGAGGAGAACAACTTGGATTTGGCGTGCGTCAACATGTTGGTGACAGACGGTGCGCCCTCGATGGCGGACAGGGATCAGGGGCTCGCCGGGAGGATGGCAGCTGCGGCTACTGAGATCTCTACATTGCCTCATCCACCAAAGCCTCCTGTGTGCCAAGCTCAGTGGTGAGTTAAAAGAGACCATGGACTCTGTCATGGCAATTATAAACTTCATCCGTTGTACCTCCAGTTTACAGCACCGCCTTTTCCGCAAGCTGTTGACTGGCATGTCTGCTGAATATAAAGATTTGCTCATTCACAATGACATTAGATGGCTTAGCAAAGGAAACGCTTTGAAACGTTTTTGTGAACTACGAGAGGAGATTCTGGTGTTTCTCCGGTCTAAACTGAGTGATGCAATTTGAAATACATTGCCTTGATAAAATACCATGCACTGTTATGTTGTTATAATTCTATTCTGTACCATACTATGCACTTTGGTTTTATTTTTGTTGGTGCACTTGGAATTGAAGTTGTTTGTTAGTTAAATGAATGAAATTCTAAACAACTGATATGGCTCACCTAAACTGAGTGATGCAATTTGAAATACATTGCCTTGATAAAATACCATGCACTGTTATGTTGTTTTAATTCTATTTTGTTACACATTATGCACTTTGGTTTTATATTTGTTGGTGGAGATACATTTGATGTTGCCTGTCACTCAAATGAGTGAAATCTTAAATATCTGTGATATGGCTGACCTAGACTGATTGTTAAGGTGTCTGATTTATGTTCAAAATGGACGAAAGTGAGTACAGTAGTAGTCCATGTGTGGATTTATGGGGAAGTCTATTTTATTTTTTTAGAAGGAAAAAAAGTGTGAGTTGTATTCAGTTAATTAGCTTGCATTTCTGTTTTTAGCCAGTGGAGAAGGGGCACAGTTTGATGTTTCTGAGAATTATTTCCCTCTTTACTTGTAACACTGAAATTTATCTTCTCATTGTCATTGAGGATAACGAGCTGTCTGTTAGTTAATTGCATTTCTCTAATTGTCTGTTTCTCAGATTTTTCAACATTGTATTGCCATTTGAATGTAACAATGCCTTGGGCCTATGTGTCTTAGTGCATCACAATGTGCATATGTTGTTCTGCATTTACAAAATAGAATATATTGACTCCTTCAGTATGTTGTTGTTGTTTCTTTATTTGTTACCATAATTACTCATATTCTCCGGCCCCTTATTTTGCCTCAGTTTCATGAACTGGCCCCAATTCCAAATTAATTGAATAGCCCTGGTCTAGCATTAGGGTCATATTTCTCCTTATCTATTAAACCAAGCAGCATTTAACTTGTCATAAAACTCATCAACTCTGTATGACCTACATAAACAATCAAAACCATCAATTAGAAGATTGGCTTTTTAGTTATTATTCCGGATTCCCCTTGAAATCAATGAAACGAGGCAGTAGAAACAGTACTGCTTTTGTCCACAGAGACCGCCAGACTCCACACAAAATTAAAGTTCCTTGTAGGGGCTAGCGTCTGAATTTGATGACCTGGGAATGAGAATGGGCTGTGAAGTGTGTAGTAGAAACTACAGGGGGCGTAAGGACTCAATGGAAGCTGACCCGTGGCGTCTGTAGATAAAAACAGCTCATTCTAAGGTAACAAAAACACAGTGAATCCTATATTCAGGTGATTATACACTAATGAAAACATACGTATGAATATTATATTCCATTTTTACTAATAGATCCTCCTAAATGTTGCACATTGAACCTTTAACACTTGACTCCATTAAGTGCAATGAAATGACAAAAATAGGCTTCCAAAGTGTGAGTAGCCGCCAATTCTGGAGATATTTTTTCCACACAACAAATTCCCATTTCAAATCATGTTTTTGCAATGGTTTGGTATAGCAACTGGCTAAAACCTGTTTTCTATGGAGAACAAACAATGACAATGATCTATTGTAGAAAAATAGTGTAGTCGGATGGATATTCATGACACACCACTGACAAGCATTTTGAAATAGTAGGTAAAGTCTAAAGTGAAGGAGCAGAAGCACCACAAAGGAACGGATCACAGTATAGTCTAGGGTTAGGCTACATGGGTGGCACTCAAGTCCATTCATCCATTCAAGTGTTTTGTCTCTTTTTTAGCAATTAAACTGAACTGTAACGCTGGATAGGTTAGGATGCATTACTGCCACCTACTGAGCTTGATTATTTACACTATATAATCATTTGTGTATTATTAACACAATATCAATGTTTCACTTTTAAATATCACAAATATCATCAATAAGGAACCACTAGCTAAAGAGAACATGGCTGAGGAAGTCAAACAGTGCACTCATTCTACCAGTTTGAGTCAGTCTCACTTGATGACCTGATGTCCTCAGGAAAACAGCCAGCTCAACTCTGGCAGCTCTGAAGCTCAAGTCACACTCCATCACACACACATAAACACACACACACCTTCACTGTGATGAATGTAAAGAGACGCTTTACTTTAATGAGCACAGAAATTGCCTCACTGATGAAGACATCCAAGTTCTCTCCCTGCCTTTCTCCATTACACACAGCAGGTTCCAAATTAGATCTTGCTGCTTTATACAGCATACACAAATACACACTCATACTGCCCCAGCAACTGCACAGCTGTTGACTCTCAACAGGAGGTGCCAGTGTTGTGCCCATGTGACTGCAGCCCACATGCTCCGTCCCAGATTTAGTTTACATCCACAAAAAGACACCCCAGCTATTCTTGCACATCCCAGATATCTCACTGGCTGACAAGTGTGATTGTGTAAGCAAAGCCGTCTATATTGCCACCGCCTCACATCATCCCAATTAACACTTGGGAGGCTGCATGACAGCCATTAAGAGCTCTTCAGCTCCAGGGCTTAGCAAAGAGAAACAGTATGATTGTTTTTCCTCAGCTTTTCTATTACGGATCTTGAATAACTATGAGCATGCTGTCTCATTGCTGAAGCATATTGCTGGCATCCCATAAACAGAAACCAAGTGAAGCCTCGCCTCCATGGTAATGAACCCTATTACCAATAATGACATTCGTGTTGTAGAGCTGCTTCTTTAGTTATTAGCTGCTTGAAGAGACCCTCTAAGTCCTCTTGCCAGTGCCAATACATGACCCCTTAGCAACAGGTCAGTTCAAGTCAGTTAAAATCTGCACCACCCTTGGTTCCATTGAGCAACATGATACCATCCACAGCTCAAAGAGATGCCCCACTGACATATAATTACTGCTGCTTCCAGCAGGCAGGTCACACTAACAAATGGGGGTTAAGCCCTTTTAAATCATGCAGATGCATGCTAGAGTCTGCGGTTATTGCTGTCCTGGGAATAAACAAACCTTTAAACAGGCTTTATACAACCAGTCATAAATACGAGTCAGTTAAATCTGGTAAGATAACAAACACATTAATCTGCAGTGTTCAGTTATGGTGCTTTTGATCGGGCAGAGATCATTCTGTATATGAGGTGAATGTTAAAATGTACATAGAAATACATTCATTCAATCAGTTCACATTCCCTCACCAGTACCCACCTCCATCCACAGCCCTGCCAGTTGCAGGCAAAAGGTTTTTCCCCTGTGTGCCTCCTCAGGTGGGCCTTCAGGTGGCTGCTCTTGGTGTACATCTTGGTACAGCCAGGGAAAGTGCATTTGTGCATTTTGATAAGATCCGCCACCGGATTCTTCTGGAACTTTTGACCTCCAACAAGAATCCCTGATCCCTGACTGGCCGAGCTATCCCCGAGCCCCAGAGGCTTGGCTGCAATGGGGACAGGAGCGATGCGTACAAACTTGGAGGAAACATTAAGGTTGGGGGAGGGCAGGATGTGGGGCACCAGGGCAAAGGTCTGACCTTGGATGTTGACCAGTAGCTGCGCAATTTTGATGTCTGAGGCTGAAGCAGGCTGTGGGGGCTGGGCCACTGGGGTAAGAGGCGCTGCTGTGGGCTCCTGCTTGACCTGAAGGGGCTGAATCTGTAGGATGACCGGCATCCCACTACCGTTTGTGCCACTGTCCGCTGATGAAGGTTTGTTGCCTGATGCCTTCTTGGCCCCTGTGCCGGATTCATGTGTAGGGTTAACTGATGTGGTTTTGGTCTCACTGGAGGCAGCAGAGGCTAAGCCAGCAGTGCTGGCAGTGGGGACAGTTTGGTCTGAATACTTAGTGGGCTCCAGCTTAGGCTCAGGGGAGTTCTCCCTGCACCACTCCAGGCCAACTTCTAGACCAAGAGCCTCCTCCAGTCCCACACCCATACCCGGGCAACTTTCTCGAATCTCCTGCTTCATTGTTACCACCTCCATATTCTCCTCCAGGAATTCTTCTATCTCTTCCAGTGTGGGCTGGAAAGACCCTCCAAGTTGTTCCTCTGTCTCCACATTGGACCAGGTGAGGAAGTCAAAATTTTCCACCTTTACAGGCTCACGTTTGGAGGGCTCATCTCTCCGTGAGTCCCAGAGGAAAGTGGATAATGGTATAGTTGCCACAGACCCTGTTGGCACACCGTTGGCACTCCCTAAAGAGGTCTGGGACAGCAGTTGATCCAAGATGCTGTCCTGGCTCTCAGCACTAGAGTTACTGCCATAGCTGGAGCTGAGCACCTGGGAGTCCGGGCTGGAACAGGAGCGAGGGCTGGACGACTCGCTCAGGTCGTCCTCCGAAAATGGCGACGGCATCACCTGGTAGGAGCCCAGATCTGTCACCATGTCTGACAGCCGATAGGCCTGTGGAGAGCCACTGTAAGGAAGAAAAGTCCCCTTGCTAACTGGGGAGTTATCTACCATCCCTGGATAGTGCCAAACTGCTGTCTCTTGTTGGACTCAGAGTCTGTATTTAGGATGATTTGTAAGAGAATTATTCCTTGTGCTGCTGGGAAAGTTAGGCCAAACAAACCCAGGTCACCAAGGCCACGCTTCCCACTTGGGTGAGATAGTAAAACACCTGGTGTGCTCTCTCGGGGTGGAAAAAGTAAGCGTCGGGGAAACACTGACAATCCAAGGTCTCCAGCCAGGATATCTAAATAGAAAAAACAGAGACAGTAAGAAGTCTGTTAATCTTAATCCCACATGTGCCTACTGCTCAAATCCAAAAGAGCAGTCCAACTTTAAAGACAGAGTATTAGGTGATTATATATCTAGTGGAAAATGTATAAGGGGGCATATCCTAACATCCATCTGTCAGCCTATTAGTCTGTGTTTGCAAATTCTACCATTTGCAAGTTGATAGTTGAATGCGGCTGTCACAATATCAGTGATGCAATCACACAGAGGATAGTTAGTCACTAAGCCAATGCACTGATTGTTATAGAGCCACTTAAACAGCATACCTACTGCACTGGTTCCTAGCCCTCTTTGATGGTGACCCTTTACACCCAAGTAATAACTACTCTTGACCCCTCGTGACCCCTCGTCACAGGTGTCAAAGACTGATGTTCCCTCCTCAAAATTACTCTTTTTAATGGTTTTTGGAGTCTTGTTGTAATTTTAAAAAAGTATAAAAAAAACTATTGTTGCATGTGCGTAATTTTAAATTGACCTTGAAGACAGACAAAAATGTCACCCCATCTGCTGATAAAGGCCATGAGATGCAGGTGAAAGCTCCAAAATAATTCTAGTAAGTAGACCTTGGCTTAAGAATATTTTTCCAGGCTGACTGTGTTGTGTCTTCTTCTTCTCTATCTTGTGAATCATCTCATCACCTGTCAGATTTATCCTGCAACAGACTGGCGGGCCTGCTGTAGACTGCTCTGATGTGATCAACCACCATAAGATTATAAAGGGAAAAGCTATAAAAAATGTATTAATTAAAATTCAAATATTAATTTCTGATATTACAACAAGTAGAGCTGCAATGATTGATTGATTGACTGATTAGTATTTCCAGCAACGGATCTAAAAAAAGGCCCAGTTTGATGACAAAATCTGTCAAGTTTAACACTTTAATTTAGATACATTTTAAGAACAATGTGTCAAAAAACAGAAATTAATACATATAACTGAATAATTTGTCCTGGACACAGTTTAGACCTTTTGATCAGCTTAAATTCAATGAAAAAAGATATGTATTTGGTAAAATGTCTGAAGATTTAAAAATAAAAGTAGTAGTAGTAAAAATGTATAGATTTCTAAAGCTGCCTTTAGATATTTCTATTCAAAGCTTTACTAATGTGCCACAATAATGTTTCTGAGTTCAAATATCCTCATTTGAGGGCTTTTCCGAGCAAATAATGATATATGTGATTGTTTGTGATTAAATCAGCAGACATTTCTGGACACCCCATGGACACACAGTCAGTATTGCTCTAGATCTGCCCTTGAGTATTTAAAAAATAAATTAATCAGCAACTATTTTGAGAATCGGTTTATTCTAATAATAAAGATTTTTCAAGCAAAAACATTTGATAGTTTCAAGTTCTTAAATGTGAGAATTTGCTGCCATTGCTTGATCTTACAGTATAGTAGTGTAATATTTGTAGGTTTTGGGCTGTTTGGGCAACAAAACAAGACAGTTTATGACATCGCCCTGTACACTGGGACACTTTCTGATGATGTTTTATAGACCAAGCAATGAAAATAATCAGAAGATTTTTCACATATTGAAAACAGATTTCCCATGACATTGTACATTCTGCTCTTTTACTATGTTTTTATTCATCTCCGATTATAACAGGTTTATTACCTATTTACTTTATTTAAGTATCAGACTAAGTTTATCACTTACGGATCAGTGGTTTCTTTTCATGTGGCTCAACAACAATGACAAGAGGCTGCACGCATTTGTTTTGATAATGTCCCACTATAGACTTCATAAATAGGTGATTTTCCTGGAATAGAGAGTGTCGGTCATACTCAACCCCCTCCCTCCCCTGTCCGCACTCCCTTTACAGGGGCCCCTGCATGGTCTGAGTGACCGAGAGTAAACCCGACCAGAGAGAGAGGAGAAAAAGAAAAAAAGGAAAAAAAAAAAAAAAACTGTCAACATTATTATCAGCAAACACCGCATGGGGCAGCTGGGAGCAGCGTGCGCTCCGGCGCTGCATGCGTAAATCACCTGCTCTGCTTGTTTACGGGCCGATTAAAGAGCAGCAAATCAGTCACAGCGCTGCCACTGAAGTTTGGAAGACAGATTTTAGGTACGAGTCGTCAGATTTATGGGTATGAAAAGCAGGCTGGTGCATTTCTGTTGTCTTGCGTGGCTTCTGCTGCGGGGCACATTGTCATGTTTGTGCAGAGGAGCTTGGACATCACCTCTTATTACATTCTTACACAGCGGGGACCTTGCAGTTGTAATCATAACTCGACAGAAATTGTATTTTAAAATGCATAATAACAATAATTAAGTGTTAAAGCATCAGACTTTGCAGGCAGCAGGGTGTAGACAACTTAAAAATCCGGTCACACGCGCAGCTGCAAACAGGAGAATAAAACTCCAAATCCATTCATCCGTCTATTTTGTTAAATTGCGGGAGAGGGAAAAGAAACCACAGTAGTGCACCATATCGGACAGTGTGCCGTGTTTTTCTGCCCGTCCCCACCGCGGTGCATAACGCATGAGTAGGCGCGCGTCTCCGCTCTCAACGTAAACATGTTTTCGTCCAGCCTGCTGCAGCATATGGCACCGAGCGGACACATGCGCACCCTGCACCCACCAGCGCGTAAAACAAACCTCCAGTCTTACCTTGTTCACTCAAAGCAAATATAATCCCAATGCAAGAGGCGCGGGGAGGACTGTTTTTATCCGTTGCATCCGTGGGGGCAGAGTAATGCCAGAGCAGCTTTTGCCCTTGAGACTCGCCATGCAGCGGCAGCAGCGTTCACACTGGACTGAGCGCTGGCTGAGTTGTACTATATGACCGTCACATGACTGCCAGTGTGAGTTACACGGGTACTGTAGTGAGAAATGAGAGGCTGCCGCTGAAGGCTCGTCCCCGCTCTGCAGCCTCATTGGTCGGCCGCAGTGGGACGGAGGCGGGTCCTCCGGTGTGTCACTCACAGGTTCTGCTGCGTGGAACAACATGTGGGCCGCCTCGGCGAGGGAAGGAAGGGAGTTGTAAGGCGTTATCAAGCTGAATCACAGGGGATGTAGGGAATAGAAATGGGTCAGTTGGATTCAGGGATGTGGAGGGTACGAAGCAGCCGTCATGTTTGCATTAGCAGAAATACTGTTTCACACCTTTTAAAGACCTAAGTGATCCCAGATTGTATAACTCAAAACACAGTCCTCACATGTTTTATGTTTTTCATGACTTTTAGGATCGATCGGACTCATTTTAAGGACCAGTGTGTGGGATTTAGTGGCATGTAGTGGTGAAGTTGCAGATTGCAACCATCTGAATACAGCTCAGTCTTCCAAGTGTGTAGGAAAAACTAGGGTGGCTGCTAAACTTGTGCAACTTGAAAAATGTTTCTAGGTATTTTTGCACAATGAAATTGCGATTTTTATTATTATTATTTGGTATAATTCATTAAAAGTCAAAGGCAAGAATGCAATCGCACTGTTTGGAGGGTAAATGTTAGACATTTGCATCACACAAGTCTCCATCTTCACAACTAGAAACAGGGAAGTGAGTTTGGTGACATATGGCCCAACGTTTTGTGCAGTAACCCACAAGATTGGTCAAATTTGTGGAAGAGTTGTGGTGATTGGACAAAATTGCAAGATTGTTCAGAATTCACAGGGATTTGTGTGGGTTAATTGTTGCAGTCTTAACATTGCAACTTCCTGGTAGAACTGGGACATGACATTATGCTCCCATCCTTTCCATACTCTGTCTTTACTTTTCCAAACTGAATTATTTACACATTATCATCATATGCGCATTATTAACATGATATCAATATTTCGTTTTCAAATATCATGGTTATCGTCAGTACCAGTGTATTGTTGTCACTCTTTTCTGCAGTTATTGTGTTCACTGTTTGGGTTCATTGTACAGTCCATCAGTTGTTCTCTATTATTATTGTTATGCATTGAATATAATATGAAATATCCATAAAATAGGTCTTTCAGATGTTGTCAGTTTACTTAATGATAGAAAAGGAGTCACCAGGAGAAGGCTGGGAACCACTGTATTATATGGACCTTGTGGTGGGATTGTTTTATCAACTGCTGTTCAGGGTCAAAAATGAACTTTGAGCCTCAACTTCAAATGTATATTTCCCAATTTCTCCACTGTAACTCCTGCAGCTGCTGTCCCAGCCTATCAGAGGCCTGTCGGAGGTAAGTGCGGGTCACTGTGGGTCAGAGGCACTTGGGGGCTATCAGTAACAGGCCTCACAGCAACATCAACACTTCCTCACACGGAGAGGAACTCACTCTCTCAGGAACAATGTGGGCGAATCAGTCAAGCTTGACAGGAAGCTTTTCAAAAGCATTAAGTTGTTCTTTAACGTGCTGTTTGTCGAAGTAATCACTCTAGGAGAGACACTCCACACAGAGAGAGAGAGAGAAGAGAGAGAGAGTTTTTTTATTCTGGGAATAACAGCTGCAGTTAGGTGTATCCACATAATTGGCTATGAGGTGGCAGACTTTTTCTACCCCACGCCGCCACGTTCCAGCGCCTGGAGGAAGGAGCTGAAAATAGACTGAACTGGCAGTGTTGTGTTTTTAATTCTTCCTCTTTGTGATGATTGTGCTCGTGATTACATGGAAGGTCTATCTGCTCTGATGGGCCTTTGTTCTTCTTTTCCTGTCAAGAGGGAGCGTGCTAACTGATGATGGGGTTAAATAAACATTTACAGTAACAACAGCTGTTTAACTTACTGTAAAGGGGTACACATAGAAATAAGTGCTGAAAACATGTTGGAGATTTACCACATCGCGTAGAGGACAAGATATTGATTTAATGACTTTAAAGGTCCAGTGTGTAGGATTAAGTGGCATCTAGCGGTGTGGTTGCAGATTGCAACTCCCTCGCTTCGCCCACCCATTCCAAGTGTATAGGAGAAACAACAGTAGCCTCCAAAAACATAAAAGGCATAGGGCCATTCTTTGATTTGTCTTTTCTGGGTTACTGTAGAGACATGGCAGTTCAGGTTGGCGGACTCTGCCAGAAGAGGACCCGCTCCCTCTGAAGATAAAAACAGCTCATTCTAAGGTAACGATGATGAACAATGATTGTTATTTTCAGATAATTATACACTAATAAAAAAATACTTATGAATATTAACCTTGAAAGTTTTTTAAAGAATTTTACCATTACTATGTTGACATGCACAAAATATTAATTTGTTTGCCCTTATTCTGAAAAAAAAAAACAATATTCTAAGCTACACTAAGCTGTTTACATGGTTAATGGAAATCCACTCCACTAATATTTCCATTTCCATGCAGCTGTGCATGTTCTGATTATCATAACTGTTAATGACATACTGTACGTCCTAGAGAGGAATTTCCCGCCTTTTCAAACTGCAGTCATGTTGCTCCTGTGGTAAAAGCAGAACAGCTAGCTAAAACTGTGTTTCTCATCACGACCAGAAATGTGGGCTTTTTTCTTTTGTGCGTGCATCTCTACTCCAGCCTTTCAAACTGTAGTTGGTTTGTTTACACACAGAGCTGACCGTAAACAGGCAAACTACGGCAAAACCCCTGTATTCCGAATGCACTCTATTTATGTCCAAAAAATGCTCCTAAAACCGGAATAATATCAGCATATCCCACATGTCTTGAAAAATGCTCCATTCGGTATAAAGCGTTATTAGGAATATCCAAAGGGAGTATGTTTTTACATGACCCATATCAAATGTTGTGTTTCGGGTCACTTGATGAATCTAAGTCTGGCGAGTGACCACAGATCACATTAACATTTGGGCAGTAGCACTCCCTCCTAAATTGAAATTTAAATAATTTCCAGTTTGCATCACTGATTTATGAAACCTGTTTAAAGCTGCAGTAGGTCATTTAAAATAACTTTTTGTCATTACTGCTGAAACTTTCACTATATCCTGACAGTAGAACATGAGACAGATAATCTGTGAAAAAATCAGGCTCCTCTGGCTCCTCTTAGAGCTCCTAATGGCATTTGCAAGAATCCACCGGGCCTGAACGAAAACAACCAATCAGAGAAAGATGGAAAGACGCTTTGGGCTGGTGGCTTGAAGATAGCTGACAGTGGAGTCTCATTTCCAGTATTGATATTTGACGACCTGTGAATAAGACTCAACAATTAACCATCTTTGTTGTGGGACAGCAAACCTCCTCCTAGTCCTCTCCTGATCTCCATCATCACCTATACTGCATTTTATGTACTGTTCACTCTTATTTAATAATGTTTCTGTTTCTGTTGTCAGACAAACAAATGAGCATTAATTGATTCAATTATGGCTCATAAATACTAATTAAAGCAGGCAAATCCTAATTCTATGCTAAAATGATGCTTAAATTGGTTTAATGGCTGTATATTTATTAAACCACACACCTTACAACTATACAACTGGTAGCTACACAACATGCTTCGTCCATAGAGGCCTGCTTAGTAGAAAAAATAATAATGCACATGTACAGAAACCATAACAGTTCTACAGGCTTTAAAAACTGTTTTGATTGATGAATAAAATCCTAATCCTGAAGCCAAAAGGACGACTAATGTGTATTGGTGGATTACTCTGAGCCTTAAACAAAGTGTTTGCTCTCACTCACTGTGTTGCACACCAACAGCAGTTTGAACAAATGTCCACACTAAACCACCATTTCTTTCAACCAAGCTGCTAAATGCTACCTGCTATTTGGTGCTGAGCAGGTAGTGTACAGTGGGTTCATCAGAACTACAGTATCAGAGCTAATAAAAATAGCCCCCCTGCTGCGATTGAATCAGAACAAAACAACCAAAACAATGAGCTGAAAGATGCTAAACCGCTCTGTAGAGCTGAGGAGAACTGCAGAGTTGGGTGATAACCAATCAGATGACTGTGTAACATAAAAGGTGTCACCCATAGTGACAAACCCACAGAGAATTAATTACGAAACTATTGATTAGAGCCAGAGCCTGAACTGGACCAAAGAGTTGCCAGTACCCTAATTTAGCCCACCCCGAACCCTAAACACAACATAAGCCAACAAATTCTTTTGGCTAGCTCGAGTTTACACAGACACGCAGTTGTGCACTTGTTCAGGAATACCTCACCAGTATTGCTGTGGCAGGGTTTGAGAAATACCAAGTTCCAAAAACTTTCTCGGGGGGTCAAGTTGTTATTTTTAGGCAATTATTTAACAATTTTTTTATTGCATACCCATTGGAAAAAATACCAGGGACCTCAGTGGTGGGTATGCTCACCAGAGGTGGCGGTACTCAATAAGAAGTAAGGGTACTCATGTGGACAAAAATCTGAATACTGGCCCATTTCAGGAACTAATTAGAGCAGCTTTAAGTAAAGAATTTGAATCTCCTACGACCTAAAGCATTATTAACTATAATTCTAAATGTATTAAGATTATAGATAAAAACTTAAACAAACTGTAGATAATACAAACCTCAAACTTTGAGTTTGTGCTGTGGAGAAAAACACTTTTAGGAAGGTAGTAAACAAAGATCAAACGACCATAATGATCACAGACCAAAGAGAGTTCTGTAAGACTTTGCCAAGCTCTCTGTTCTTTCTCTCTGTTCACCTCTTTTTCTGTCTGTGTTATTGTCTAACAGGCTGGCAATTTTACAAACTCAGCTATATTTTCCTAGTGTTCCTGTTCCTTGTTTGTACAGAGGCTGCTGGGTACCACAGCTGGGCTTGGCAGACAGATACAGTAAGTCTTTGCCTTCTTTTTAGTCTCAGTGAAGTCCTCTGAGATTGTCTTGAGGTAAATGAAAATATAAAACCATTGTAACCATACAATAAAACAATAGTATTTCACCTTTTTCACACCAACTGATTAAAA